AGTTGGATAGAGGGCAGGGGAGTTCGGGGTGGTGGTCATGGGGTGGGGGTGTGGATAGGGTTCAGGGCAGTCAGAGGGTGGGGAACAGGGGGATTGAATGGGGGTAGGGGTTTCCAGGGGGCATCCAGGAAGGAGAGGAGAGGTTGGATGGGGCAGCAGGGGGAGGGGTTCCGGGGGCTGCAGGGGACAGGGAACAGGGGGGGTTGTATGGGACAGGAATCCCAGGGGGCAAGAAGCAGGAGGGGTCGGATAGGGGGTGGGGGCCGGGCCAAGCCTGACTGATTGGGGAGGCACAGCCTCCCCTAACCGGCCCTCCATACAATTTTGGAAACCTTATGTGGCCCTCAGGCCAAAAAGTTTGCCTGCCCCTGCTCTACATGTTACTGCAATGCAAATATTTATTAATCAGTAATAAATACTATGTGCTGAGATCCAACCAGTCTTGCAAACTCAGCAGGAGAAGAATGTGTCAGCACATGCAGGGCAGGAAGTGGTGTTGATGGATCCTTCACTGAGCATCTGTGGTGGGAGTCCTGCCACTGTGCTGACGTCCTTCAGTTCTGCCATCATCTTAACCAAGCGGCTCGACTTCTCCGTTCTCATGTAATCCCATAACCACAAACTCAGGCACCTTGTAACCCTTCCTTAAAATCCAGTGTGACCTGCCTCCTTCCTCTCCCTGCTAGTCCCCAGCTCACTCTCCACTTTACCAAGACAGACACATTTCCCCCAAGGGTGGACGCAGTCATACAGGTGTAAACGTGCTTGATGGTAGGGCTGTCGATTAATCGCAGTTAACTCACGTAATTAACTCAAAAAAGAATCACGCTTAAAAAAATTAATCGCAGTTTTAATCAAACTGTTAAACAATAGAATCCCAATTGACATTTATTAAATATTTTTGGATGTTTTTCTACATTTTCAAATATGTTGATTTCAATGACAACACAGAATACAAAGTGTACAATACTCACTTTATATTATTATTATTATTACAAATATTTGCACTGTAAAAATGATTAAAATATAGTAGTTTTCAATTCACCTCATACAAGTACCATAGTGCAATCTCTTTATTGTGAAAGCACAACTTACAAATGTACATTGTAACAATGAAAAACTTTAGAGCCTACAAGTCTACTCAGTCCTACTTCTTATTCAGCCAATCGCTCAGAGAAACAAGTTTGTTTACATTTACTGGAGATAATGCTGCTCACGTTTTATTTACAATGTCACCTGAAAGTGAGAACAGACGTTTGCATGGCACTGTTGTAGCTTGCATTGCAAGGTATTTACATGCCAGATGTGCTAAACCTTCATATGCCCCTTCATGTTTTGGCCACCATTCCAGAGGACATGCTTCCATGCTGATGACGCTCATTAAAAATAATGCGTTAATTAAATTTGTGACTGAACTCCTTGAGGGAGAATTGTATGTCCCCTGCTCTGTGTTTTATCCACATTCTGCCATATATTTGGTGTTATAGCAGTCTCGGATGATGAGCCAGACGCTATCTGAAATATTCTGAAAATCGTCTTGCAGTGTGCACAAATAAAATATGAGTCAAGAATTCATCATGTAATGAATTTTAATAATTAAAATGCATTGGATGACATGCATACAGGCTTTATAGACACTGGAACTACCAAGTTACCGGAAAGAAGGAAGTGTCACTGCACTAAGAGAAGCAAATACAGACCCCTTTATTTAAGGAGATGATTATTGTTCTCTCTGTTCACTTTGCAGGTTGTGGCAGTGCTGTCTCACAGCTGCTTGCTGTGGGGATCTCTCTGCTGCCCTCAGTACAAACCAGTCCCTGACCGAGCTGGAGCTGAGTGGGAATAAACTGGGAGATTCAGGAATTAAACTTCTGTGTGAAGGACTGAAACATCCCAGCTGTAAACTGCAGAAATTAGTGTAAGTCATTGCTCGGTTCCTTGATACTTTCCTTGTTACACCAGCCTTTCCAAAAGTGCTGAATTTTGCACTGATAATTTTTTGAGGTCCTATTTTCACTTACGAAATCACCTGCATTTGCAGGAGCACCTGGATATACAATTACTAAATTGTGTGCACAGACATTTGGGCAGGTAAATGTGGGTTTTGTACATTACATCTTTTGGTTGTACACAAACGTTCATAATAGCCACATGAAAATCCATTTTCTACTGGTCCAAGCCTCAAATATTGGGCCTGTCCCTATAAAATCAGGACATCTGGTCAGCCTACTGTCTGTTCACTGTGCCCATCTCCATCTCTGCAGGGTTTGGGATTGCCATCTGACTGATGCTTGCTGTGGAGATCTCTCCTCTCTTCTCAGCTCAAACCAGTCCCTGAGAGAATTGAACCTGAGTGGTAATAAGCTGAGTTATTCAGGAGTGAAGCTTTTGTGTGAAGGACTGAAACATCCAAACTGCAAGTTAGAGAAGCTTGAGTAAGTGACTTCTGCTTTCTATATGAAAAGAACGTGTTGCAGTGTGTGCTGGGCTTCCAGTCACCTAGCTGTGTATGGACTGTATGGCCCAATGAGGTGAATTGGGCTGATCTGTATGGGCTGAGTGTGTTCTGTGCCTCCAGGAGGCGCTGCGCACACAAGTGCAACACAGAGGAGGGGGCCAAAGTGGCTTTAACCTTCCTTTGTGCCATTCTGACTCCAGGCTGGTCAGGGCCTCAAACAGCCAACAATTAACTTAGGCAACCTGCCTCCTAGAATCATAGAATCATAGAATATTAGGTTTGGAAGAGACCTCAGGAGGTCATCTAGTCCAATCCTCTGCTCAAAGCAGGACCAACACCAGCTAAAACATTCCAGCCAGGGCTATGTTGAGCCAGGCCTTAAAAACCTCTAAGGATGGAGATTCCACCACCTCGCTAGGTAACCCATTCCAGTGCTTCACCACCCTCCTAGTGAAACAGTGTTTCCGAATATCCAACCTAGACCTCCCCCACTGCAACTTGAGACCATTGCTTCTTGTTCTGTCATCTGCCACCACTGAGAACAGCCGAGCTCCATCCTTTTTGGAATCCCCCTTCAGGTAGTTGAAGGCTGTTATCAAATCCCCCCTCACTCTTCTCTTCTGCAGACTAAATAACCCCAGTTCCCTCAGGCTCTCCTCATAAGTAATGTGCCCCAGCCCCTAATCATTTTTGCTGCCCTCCACTAGACTCTATCCAATTTGTCCACATCCCTTCTGTAGTGGGAGGACCAAAACTGGACGCAGTACTCCAGGTGTGGCCTCACCAGTGCTGAATAGAGAGGAATAATTACTTCCCTTGATCTGCTGGCAATGCTCCTACTAACGCAACCCAATATGCCATTGGCCTTCTTGGCAACAAGGGCACACTGCTGACTCATATCCAGATTCTCATCCACTGTAATCCTCAGATCCTTTTCTGCAGAGCTGCTGTTTAGCCATTTGGTCCCCAGCCTGTAGCAGTGCATGGGATTCTTCTGTCCTATATGCAGGACTCTGCACTTTTCCTTGTTGAACCTTGTCAGATTTTTTTTGGCCCAATCCTCCAATTTGTCTAGGTCACTCTGGACCCTATCCCTACACTCCATTGTATCTGCCTCTCCCCTCTGCTTAGTGTCATCTGCGAACTTGCTGAGGGTGCAATTAATCCCATCACCCCAATCATTAATAAAGGTTTTGAACAAAACCGGCCCCAGGACCGATCCCTGGGACACTCTGCTTGATACCATCTGCCAACTAGACATTGAGACGTTGATCACTACCCATTGAGCCCGACAATCTAGCCAGGTTTCTATCCACCTTATAGTCCATTCATCCAATTCATACTTTTTTAACTTGCTGGCAAGAATACTGAGTGAGACCGTATCAAAAGCTTTGCTAAAATCAAGATATATCACATCCACCGCTTTCCCCATATCAACAGGCCAGTTATCTCATCATAGAAGGCAATTAGGTTGATCAGGCCAGGGCCGCCTCTAGGCACCAGCAAAGCAAGCAGTTGCTTGGGGCGGCAGATTTGCAAGGGGCGCAAGAATCCAGCATGGGAGCTGAGAACCAACAGGGGGCCCTGGGAGCTGTAGTTCCTTGGTTAGCTCCCTGCCTATAGAGCCAGCCCTAGAGCAGGGAAAGAACTACATTTCCCAACATTCCCTTGGCCACTAGCAACAGGAAAGGGTG